GAGGCGTGTGGTAGAGCGAAGATCTATAGTCGCTAAGGCACAGCTCTGATGCTCCTTTCCAATGTGGATTAATAGAACGTAGGAGAGCTATTTCTGTCAAAGTTAGGCCCGCAAGGACAAATATCTCACACAAAAACGCATGCTTATTCAGCTTTTCCGCCTTGTCAAAGCATTCTTTACAGGCACGTCGAAGCTGACCCTCCTCCGGCACTCCAGGCTTGTTCAGCTTTGCTATAGACTTATCCAGCTGCCATGAGGTGCATCGTGCACAGATGCGCCTGCCACAGCATCGACAATGACTCGGTCGAACCGTATTGAGTGATAACGTTGACCATGATGCAAAGATCATGCCGCAGACAGGACACGTCTTTGCTGTATCCCCCGGCTCCCACACCGGACTATGAAACGGATATCGCTGAAAGCTGGGGGTAAATTCATCTCCAAAAGGTGTCTCATCACGCCACACAGAAGCCTCCGGGTCTACAGACTGTGTCAGGTCGCCTATCAGCTGCCCCCCGGGAAAAAAGTAATGGTCTTCCCTCAACTGCTTCAACCAATGATGAGCCACCTCATCGCAATTGGAGGGCCTCGGTTGACGTTGTTCATCCCGTGTGGCCGGAACTGGAGAAACACCACCATCCAGTGCAAACGCCCGCATGACAATCTTCCGAAATGTCTTGATTGCCATCTGCCCAGAACCTCCCAGCTCTTGTAACAAAAAAAGGCTTTTGGTGAATTTACCTCGCACCTCATTCTCAAAAATAAAACTAAATTCTTCACAAAGAAGTGGAAATGTCTCTTCCATCTCCAGTCGTGTCGCAAGCTCAAGCACATCCATAAAAAGCCTCCGATTTTCCGACATCTGACGTACGTGGGCACGCACAACAGCAATCCTGTCACTGGCTGATAGCTCTACAGGAGGTGCGGCAGAGGCTGACATCCCCATGCCAGCTGCCGCGTCGGCCATCCCATGGCTCCTCATCGTTGCGTTTTTTAATCCACTGTCGCATTCATCTGTGGCATAACTTGACCCCGTGTGTCGAGTGCCATGGAGAAGCGCGACAATTTTCTCTAGTTCCCGCATTGCCGTCGCTGAGCCAAATGAAAAGACCACGGGAGGTCTCATTGACAGCAGGCGACCAAGGTAAAGGCTCTCAGAAAAATCCAGCATACATCGTGTTCCATCCCCAAGAACAACATCGATGGCAAGCATGCCAAAGTCATAAGAGTCGTAAGTCATCAATTCCACACCCTTCGACAACGGTTGGTTGGTTTCATCCTCTACTGTTTTTGCCTGTTGCATCCCTGTTGCAGGCCGAAGGAAGTTTCCTTCCATCCTCTCCCGCACTCCGGATGGTGCAAAGTGATATCGCACACGCTGGCCCAGCCAGAGTATGAGGCTGACATAGAAAAAAGAAAAAAAGAAAAAAAAAAAGAAAAATGAAACTGGAAATAACACCGCAAGCAAAAAAAAAAAAAAGTCGTATGTATATTTGTAAAGTGCACACAACCGCAATATGAACTTCAAAGAAAAGACGCCTTGAATTGCTTTGGTTTGGTTTGAAAAAAAAAAAAAAAAAAAAGAACAAGCATACAGCCGCAAAATAAATGCATGCCCACATCCCATTTCTTCTCTTGAGAAAAAGATGTGAGTCCATGCCGCCAGTTATCGTCTCCATGACCAATAGAAATGGGAGTCCAAGCGCAGGTACAAATGCTTGCCAGTCAGCTTGCCGTAAAGCGCAAAACCCGACCAGGCAAAAAATGTGGCGCAGAGGAACACAAACGCCACATAAACAAAAGGAGGGTTAATGGAAGTGGAAAGGGCCAACAGCCTGCAAACTTCCGCATCTTTTCTACCAATCCCAACAGACCCATATATGCTAAGTATCACTGGCAGCAAAATAAGAGGCACGCATACAGCCCAAATGTGCCTCGTCAGCTCAAAAGTAATCAATATGACCAATCCGATAGTCTCTAGCACGGTCAGTGCCACTGCAATGCTAGTGAAAAAAATTGTTCCTCGCGAGCACGCATCAAGTTCAGTGAGTGACATCACAGAGCCAATAATATTACACTCCAGGTAAAAAATCGCTGTGATGATAAGAACGCGAGTGGTGATGTTGATAGGGAGCATAATTGCTTGTTTCACAGCCATCACGGCAAACCCAAAACTATTGCATGAGTACTGAAAAAAGACATTACACATGAAGAGACTCATGGACATCCCATACAATGTGTAGTTTACAGTCAAGAGGAGTTTATAGGCGGTAAGCTCTTTAGTCATTGGGTCATACAACGTGCTAAGATAATACTGAAGAAGCAATTGCGGTGTGGCAAATAAAAAAGTATTGATAATCAATAAATTTGAAAAACCATTGTACAAGTCATGTCGTATTACCAAGTATTTTGTCTTGTCTCGCCGCAGTTCATAACGTAATGTCACATACATGAGGGCAATCTCAAAAATTGGGATGCAAGGGACAACCTTCAAGGAGTTATCTGGATAATCCCAGAGGCGATCATCGTAGTCGCGGATTCTCCCTTCCTCGGAGATCATCACCACAACAATGCTCCCCACATATCCTGCAACATAGCAGAGAATTGTCCAGTACCCAAAAGAGGAATAGCTGCTGCCAAACCAAATGGAGGCAAGCCAGGCGACAGATACAAGATTCAATACAATTGCAGCCAACCCCAACCACGTAATGAGCATGCCCAAAAAAAAGCATAAATCTAATATACGCGCCAAAATCCAACTGGGTGGTAAAATATTTCGCAAGACGTGTGGATTCTCGTAAAGCAACTTTGCAAATTCAAAGCCACCCTGACGGCACTGCCGCGCTTGCTCCTTCGTAAGTGTTGCGCTAGGGACGCGGCACAACAACGTCAAGTACCCAATTCTGTCTGAATAAATACGACCCCGCTGCAATTCATCGGCCAGCAACACAGAATTGATCTCATCCTGAATGACCTCCTGCACATCACGATCATCGACATTTACTCTCCCTGAGCGCAACAACATTTCAATAAGTTCACGGTTGCCAGCCGCCGCGCGAAGGACATCACCGTTGATTTGAACTTCACCAAACTCAAGTGCTGCAAGGATGATGCGCTTGTATACATCATTTGGAGTACGCCTATACTGGAGAATAACCTCACACAGGTCAACAGCAATATCCTCAGATAAAAAAAGCGAATCACTCTG